TGTTAAATAGTTAATCATGTGGATGTGTGTTGACAGAGATGAGAGCAACGTGGCTTGTCCACTGGAGATCAGCGAACACTTGAAAGACAGCTCTATTCCTACAGCACAAAAGAGATCTCCATCATCTGCAAGTGTGTCTGTGAAAGTGTATGTAGAATCTCACCGACAACACTTCAGTGTCATGTGTCTCTTAAAGGGACATTTCACCCTAAAATGAACTTTCTGTCATCATTTACTCACCCTCATGTTGTTCAAAACCCATATGACATGCTTTCTTCAAGAAGAAATTTAGAAGAATTCTGGGTTACATTGGAATGACATGAAGGTGAGAAAACAAAAGGACTGTCACTTTTTGGTAAACTACTCCTTTAACCAGAGCAGCAATGTGTATTGTCACAGTGCCCAGTATTTACTTTGACAGGAAGCCCATTAACAGTTACAAAACCCCTCACAACAGTAGCGATACTTCAAAATAAATGAAGCTTCCTGTTTACAAACGTCAAGCTGAAAATAGGGCTTCAGTAGTCCTTTTTTCAGCATTTACATAATAAATCTCTGACTGTCATTTGTCTTTACGGAGTGTTGTGTTGGTAGCATTGTATTGCGCGACTCTTGAGCTGGTTGTGCCGTTTCCTAGCCTCTCGTTATCTCATCTCTTGTTTGTAATATTTGTGCTACAAGCCAACCCGAATCCCGCCTGTGAAGACAAATAAACATTTTGTCAAGACTAAAGGTCCGTGAGCCAGAAGTTTACAGCTTTTGTTGTTTGTGATTTGGAGAGCTGACGTCTCCACTTGAGAGCACATGGGGGAAATATGCAGAGGAACAAAGAGCCGGGGAGAGAGGATTACACACAAACAATAGTGTACAGTAGGAAACAGTATGAGACAAAAGAGTCGTGCAGAGCAACGGGGAGAGAGAGAGAGAGAGACTTTTTTTAGGTGCAAAGATGAAGCTTAAATTTCTTCCCGTATCGTGAGGGCTGTTGCCTTTGTATGATTCTGTAAGCTGCTGTTTCTGTGATTGGTAAGAGAGATGTCTTTTGGCCTCTTTATTGAGTCTGTGAGAGAAACTAAACTCATTACCATTCATCAAATCAAATGAGACTCTCACTCTCATGAGTGATAAATTCACTCTGCATCATCACACTATCAAAATACACAGGAAAAAAAATATCTGTCACAACTGATCTGCTCTTTATGCAACTCACTGAGCCAATTTAAACCGATTATGATGGATATATTATTTTTTTTTAGAATTTTAACAATTTAAACATTTCAGATTTTAAACAGACTACATTGGCAGCTTTTTGGCAGTATAGGTTATGAACAAACTATGCTACTATTACAAAGCAGGCCTAATTATCTGAAAAACAAATTATAGTTCAATTGAATCTACAATTGTATTCACAAGTATTAGGATTTTTTGGCAGATTGTTATATAGAAAAAGAATCATAAAAGAGTTTTGATTTTTATTTAGTACAGTGTCAAAGTGGATCTGTAACAAATATTTAGGTGTATTCCACAAGAAAAAAAAGCTTAATGTCAATAACATTAATTATATAACATATAAATTTTATAGAAAACAGAACAGTTATTATAAAATGTAATGGTATTTCACAATAGCACTTTTTTAAATGCAGCCTTGGTAAGCATAAGAGACTTCTTTAAAAAAAGATCTGATCATGTAAAAATATGTGTAAAGAAGCGTGTGATTAAATTCCACTGATTTTGTCCTGAGTGTGAGTAGACCACTTATTTTCTTGAGAACCAATCAGCAGTCAGGAAGTATTATGCCTGAAATGGATTTCATTATGGCAGGAAGGATCTATTATTAAAGTTTTCATTCATTAGTCTCTATTTCTGCAGTACAAGTGTTATGACTAGTGTAGTATGGACATTATAGCTCAAGCTTTTGAATATGAGTTTTTGAGGCCGTACTTCAGTCAGTGAATGATGAACAGACTGAACAATATAAAAAGTGTTTTTTTTTATAATAAAAAAATAAAACACACTGGTAGGAAGGAAATTGAGCAGGCAGAGTTTGAACAGAGAGAAACAATGAATATACTGTGTATATGTGTTAGAAAAATAAAGAACATTTCAGGTTTTGCCCTGCTTTTTTCTCACACTTAGACATGTGTGACCTTTGAGACCCATGAGGTCAGCTATATGCTTCTTTTTAGCAGATGCTCACAGGGGTGGACAGAGGCTCATTAAGGCTCTTTTTTCCCCCTCCCAGATTCATCTGCAACCCGCGGTCAACCCATTGCCATGGGAACTGCTCAGGCAATTGTGCAGAGGTCACCACGTTGACTTGGACAGACTCAAACACAATGTCACTGCCTAATGCCACTGCAATACCATTACAAAACCAGCTGAGATCATGTGTGTAGCTTGTCACTTTGCCTTATTCATGTGCAGGACAAAATGACAACGCCTGCTTAGTCTGATTTGCAGTCCCTTTTGTCCCTCTCTCCCTCCTTTCACTTTCTTGTTTATTAAGATCATTAAAAGTTGTTGAATTAACCTAGTGTGTTAATGCATCAGGACTGATCCATCTAACACTGCTGCCAATATTACATCGCAAATCTATTACTATTATTAATTCAATAATCAACTGAGAGGCTTGTCAAGTTCATCAACCTTTCAGGACTTTCTCTTCACAGCACCTGCTCCCTACATGAGGGTGTTGGGCTGAACCGCTCTGTGCAGGACTGGGAACAGATCCATCTTGTAAAGATGCTCGGTTTCCCAATCTGGATTACACCACACGAGAACAGACAATTTAATGAAAAGAGAAGATTAAAAGAAAGTGAGCGAGGGAGATGGGGAATGACACAGATGGAATTGGTGAGAATGAGAGAGAGAGAGAGAAAATAACATCTCCGTCTTCATTATGAAGGTAGATTCCTCTCGACGTCTGGCTGAAAAATTACCTCCTCATTCCAAACATCCAGTATACTAGACACATTTTCTTGCTCTATAGCAATCGTTAGGTTGTCAGGCCAACTTCTGGGTGCGTCTGAACAGCTCAGTTCATATTGATTGCTCATTTGTGTGAGTATAAATATATATATATATATACTGTATATAT